TTAAGGTCTGTTACAGTGAAATTCTGTAAGGGAAATCCATGGGGTATTGATGAAAACCCTTAGGAAAAGAGGGACAAAGTGACAGGAACTATCTGGAGTTATTTATCTGCTACTGAACCTCTCCCCACCCCCCACTCTACCACAGCTGGTGGCTAATGGGGTGGAGTTGGGCTGCTGAAGGGCCTGTGGCCAGGAAGATGATTGGTGCTTGTATACTTCTTCATGAGTCCCTGTGGATAGGGAAAGCATCCTCAAATCATTGCCAGGTAGGGCTCCATGTCTGTTTTGGTCACAGTGGTCCATGTTAGAGAGGAGTCCTGTTGTGAACACATGCCTCTTGCTCTACCTCTGTAATCTTTGTGCTTTCAAGTGCCTCCCCGCCCGTGTGTGTATGTGGGCGGGGGGAGTCGGTATGCATGTATATACTTACACTACACGCATGTATACTAGACGCACGTTCATGGGGACCAGGAGAGATCGTCATCGGATTTCCCCATATGAATGATTTGTGAGCCATCGTGTGGGTGTTGGAGGCTAAACCCAAGACCTGCAAGAACTCTTAGTGAGGAAGCTGTTTCTCCAGTCCCTTTGCCTTACCTATGGAGATGGGCATGGGGTCTTTCATTGAACTGATGGCGTGACTGGCCAGTGAGCTGTGGGGATCCTCCTGTCCCCACTTCCCCTACCCTGGGGTTACAAATGTGACAGCTGTGCTTTGGGGATCAGAACCTAGGTCCTCCTGCTTGCGAGGCAAACACTGTGCTGACCAGCCATCTCCCCAGCCCTGCGCTTTCATTTCTATCTCCAGAATGGGAGCGCTTCCCTAAGGTGTTGGTGCAGCAGAGAGCCTGACACCAAGAAGTGTTCTTTAGTCACTTGTAGTAACTAGCTATTATTATTGCTGCTGTTGTTGTTGTTGGAGGGGGGAGTGAAAGTTCCTTATGCTAATCATCCGACTGTGAGGTACTTCCTAGGCTAAGTGCAGGGTTGGCCTCACTTCCAGAATCTTCCAAATTGACCATCAAGCTCTTTCCAGCAGCTTACTGAGGCAAAGCCTCCTGTCCCATTTATATTATATAAATCTCTTCCTTCCTTGGAGGAGAAGCAGAGGGTACCTATTAAAGTGCTCTTAACCCCTGCAAGGATGTGCAAACTGAGGGGTAGAACTGTCTGGGGTGGAGACTGATCTTGGAAATGGAACTCAGACTTAGGGGTTTTTTTTTTTTTGTTTTGTTTTTTGTTGTGTTTTGTTTTTCTGGGCAGGGAATAGACCTGGAATTGTGCTGAGGGGTTACCATACAGGCAGTTTAGGAACTTGTTTTTCTTTTTCAGCCATGGCAATTCAGCAGAAGCTCGCGAGGTCCGGGGCAGGCCTAAGCAAGTGGGGGCACTGGCGCTCTGAGATGGTGCCTGGAAGCATCAGCTGTGCGTGTGTCCTGAGAGAGCTGAGTCATTGGGGGCCGAGATCCTCACTCTCTAGGCAGGCCTCATTTACTAGCCCAGATGTTGACAGCTGCCTCTGGAGGGTGATGGGGCAGTAGCCTCACTGCCTCCGGTGGCTGCTCCAAACTAGCTTGCTGATGGGGCTTTTGCATGATTTGGAGAGTCTGCTTGCTGGCTCCCAGGCCTGCTAAACATCCTTGAAAGTTGCCTAACGCTTTTTGCTTCATCTGCAAGAAATGCAGCTGTTTTTAGAGTCTCGGTAGTCTGCTTGGCAAAATAGAGTGTGCAGTCAGTTCGCCCCCCTGCTTTAGAGTACCTCTCCTTTCTCTAGGCCTTGGTCAGCCCTGCACTTGGTCCTGAGATAAAACCCTAGCTACAGGAGTTAATATGTAGCTACGTGAAACTTCCACAGGCAATTTGTTGGCAAGTAGGGCTTTCTGAAATTGGGCTCATACTGTCATTGTCCACTGAGGAAGGTTCTGGCTGAGACACTCCCTTGGCTAGCACCTGCAAGTCTTATCTGTGACACTTTATATTATGCCAATGTAACGATGTTTCCTTTAACCAAAGACCCCAGAAAGGACTGGAAGTTGGGGCTTCTAACTAGACTGGTCGGGTGACTCCAAACTTGCCATTCTTCTAGAGGCAAGGCCTTGGGAACTTCTTGGAACAAATTTATTAGCTGAAAGGTAGTGTTAGAGAGAAGATGCTCTCCAGGATGTGTCTATACGGCCTTGGCCTCAACAGTTCACCTGAAGCTGCCTTGACAAGGGACCATTCTTTGGAAGGCCTGCCGTCTGGTTAAAACAAACTCACTCAGAGGTGAGCTGAACTGCCTGCCCATGGTGGCTCTTTCCTTTAATTGTAGCAATTGGGAAGCTAAGGAATAAGGGCTTCGGTAGTAATAACTAATATATTAAGTAAGCTTCAGGTCAGCCTAAGATGAAATGTGAAATCATGCCTCAAAAAAAAAATTTCTTTTCTTTTTTTTTTTTTTTTTTTGTAAAATAATGTTGTGATTTCACTGAAAAGAACATTGTGGCCCCTGCCACTATGTAGACTTTATCCAAGACAGACAGGGAAATAGTGTAGACAATAGTTTGAATGGGAACTTTCTGGTGACTGACCCTACTCGGAAAGATGTGATGTTTTTTTTTTTAATATTTATTTATTTATTATGTATACAATATTCTGTCTGTGTGTATGCCTGCAGGCCAGAAGAGGGTTCCATTACAGATGGTTGTGAGCCACCATGTGGTTGCTGGGAATTGAACTCAGGACCTTTGGAAGAGCAGGCAATGCTCTTAACCTCTGAGCCATCTCTCCAGCCCAAGATGTGATGTTTTTTGCATTTAGCAGCATAGATGTTGCGCAGACTAATGCTGTGGATATTCTTCTTTCTCTCCCTTTCACGAACCTTCTATTTAGAGCTAGCTGTTTATTTCATGCGGACTAGAAGCAAGCATCCAAGAAAACGCTTCAGCTATTTGTAACCAAACCCTTGTCTCCAAGCCGGGGCAAGCATAGTTGTGAGTCCCATCAGCCTCCTCCCTCCACCACGGCAAACACTTCACCATACAGGGAGCCAAGTGTCACTCTCTGTGATACTGAGATGGACTTAACAGTCCCAGCAAGGGGGTGTAAGCGGAACTAGAAACCTACTTCGCATCCCCTTGGCAACACCTTTGATGCAAGATAAACTTAGTTGAGAGACAGGAGCTGTCATTAGCATCTTGAGAAGGCATTTACAGAAACACCACTCTTAACAGACACTCCTCAGTGTGTGCTGTCTTAATGAGGACTCCTCTGCCCCTGCTCCGTCTTTCCCTCCCCCAGTCCCTTGAAGTTCTTTGTGGAATCTTCCCAGAGTGTATTCTCTTCCTTTGGATTCCAAATTGTCTCCTTTGAACAGAGGTCTTGGCCTTCTGCTGCTATTTCTTTAAATTGATCTCCCGTCCGAATTCCAAACGTAAAGGTCAGCAGGCAAGGAAATGGCACTTCTAATAGAAAACAATGTGCACTTTCTAAATTTGAACCAAGCCGTTTCCGCTCTTTGATTTAAGTGACTTCCTGGGTTTCCGTGTCAGGCGCTGCCGTTGAATCTCTGGCCGGATGCCAACTTAAAATTGCACTCTCTCAGTGAAATTAGAAACTGATCCAGGGTTGCCTTAGCTATTCTAGTAAATAGCATTTAGTCTGAATGTTCGGCTCAGCACTTGGAAATGGGTGATGTGAGTGCCCCTTGAGAGGATTTCCCATGCAAGTTGTCGGGAGCTCACCTACCCAGGGCTTATCTACTGCCGGAGGTTGCTGTTCTTGGAAGCAGGAGTAATAGGTTGATGTCCTGGATGAGCAGGCGTCAGATGCAGCCCTTCTCTTCTTTCTTTATCCAGCTGATGAACTCGGGGGAGCACACAGGAACTGTTGTATTGACCACGTACACAGTCCTCAGTGCCTGGGATGGTTCCTCCAGGACTGGGAAATGCTTACGTAGGACGTCAAAGTGGTTGTATTTTGAGGTAGTGACGAATTATTTAGTGCTTTCTGTGTGCCTGGCTGTGTGCAGGTATCAGGTGTGTGTTTTCTCCCTTAATCCTTGCAAGAACCCCTTTTTACAGCCCCAAAATTAAGGCATAATCCTAATGCTTACTACTACAGAGGTAGGCAAATCTCCATGAGTTCAAAGCCAGCCCAGGACTACACAGTGAGACCCTTCACCTGCCACGATCCCCCCCCCTACCACCACCACACACACACACATACACACACACTCGGGAGTGAGATGGCTCAGTTGGTACAGGTTCACAATACTGGGGACCTATGATCAATCATTTTCACACATGAAGGTGGAAGAAGAGAGAACTGATTGTTCCCTCAGAAGTTTTGTCCCCTGACCTACACATACATTAAAAATAATTTTAAGCTGGGCAGTGGTGGCGCTCGCCTTTAATCCCAGCAGGGCCAGACAGATCTCGGTAAGTTCAAGGCCAGCCTGGTCTACAAGAACTAATTCCAGGACAGGCACCAGAGCTACACAGAGAAACTCTGTCTCAAAAAAAAAAAAACCAATAAATAATTAATAATAATTTTAAAAGAAGTTGTAACTTGTTTACAATCAACGCCATTAGGCCTAAAGTGTTCTGTTGTTTTAAGACAGGCTCTCGCTCTGTAGATCAGGCTAGTCTCAAATTCACAGCTGTCTCCCTGTTTCCATCTTCACAGATTCTGGGATCATAGGCATATGCCACCATGCCTGGCTGACCCACCCTTTACCCCACCCGGTGATGCTGGTAACCAAAGCCAGAACCTGTGAAGCGTGCTAGGAAAGCTGTCTTCCACCAAGTTGTACCTCAGCCTAAGAGATGTTACTTCTACCAGTATTTTTCTCATTATTGACAATTTAAGCCTTGGGAATTACTAGGAAGTTCATTGAAGAAATTTGGTTCCCATTTCATTTTAGACTCCCAAGGCCTGATAGAAGGTTGAGGGGAGAGTATTAACAGGCCATGTATTGATGCTGGGAATCCATTTTCTCTTTTTTCCTTTCTCTCTCTCAGGGCCCCTAGAAGCCTGTCCATTGGTGCAGTCCAGGACCGTCAGCCTCATGGAGCGCCCGGTCCCACAGAGTACTGTCCCTTTGACTCCCAGCTCCGCCATGGTGCAGCCTCTCCTCGACAGCCGAGTGCCCCACAGCCGGCTCCAACACCCACTTACCATCTTACCCATCGACCAGATGAAGACCAGTCACGTGGAGAATGACTACATAGACAACCCTAGCCTGGCCCCCACCTTGGGTCCCAAGCGGACCCGGGGTGGGGTCCCAGAGCTGGCCCCTACACCTGCCCGCTGTGACCAGGATGTCACTCACCACTGGATCTCCTTCAGCGGTCGACCCAGCTCTGTCAGCAGTAGCAGCAGCACCTCCTCAGACCAGAGGCTCCTCGACCATATGGCTCCACCACCAGTAGCTGAGCAGGCTTCACCCAGGGCCGTGCGCCTCCAGCCCAAGGTGGTCCACTGTAAGCCGCTGGACCTCAAGGGCCCAGCAGCTCCGCCAGAGCTAGACAAGCACTTCTTGCTGTGTGAGGCCTGTGGGAAGTGTAAATGCAAGGAATGTGCGGCCCCTCGGACGTTGCCCTCCTGCTGGGTCTGCAACCAGGAGTGCCTGTGCTCGGCCCAGACCCTGGTCAACTATGGTACATGTATGTGCTTGGTGCAGGGCATCTTCTACCACTGCACCAATGAGGATGATGAGGGCTCCTGCGCTGACCATCCCTGCTCCTGCTCCCGCTCCAACTGCTGCGCCCGCTGGTCCTTCATGGGTGCCCTCTCTCTGGTGCTGCCGTGTCTGCTGTGCTACCTGCCGGCCACAGGCTGTGTCAAGCTGGCCCAGCGCGGCTATGACCGTCTGAGACGCCCTGGTTGCCGCTGCAAGCACACGAACAGCGTCATCTGCAAGGCAGCCAGTGGCGACACCAAGGTCAGCAGGTCTGACAAGCCTTTCTGACACTTTGGATGAAAACTCGGCACTGCCCTTGGAAACATGGTCCCTCCTGCCAGTCTCCTGAGGCTGACCGTACTCATCTGTCCTCTCCTAAACTCTAGATTGAGAACAAACAGGCAGAGACCACTACCACCCAGCCTGGAGTCCCCAGAAGGATGAAGATGTACTCTGGGGTTTTCGTGTTCTTGAAACTTTCATGTCAAGCAACAGTGACAGCATCGGGGTGTGGTGGTTTGGGATGTGATTTCTTCCCATTTCAGAAGATGTGGACACAATCTGGAAGTTTGGCCCCTTGATGGCCTTCCCAGCCCCTCAGTCTCTCCCTTCCACTTTGTCATTGTCTCTGGCTCCTGCTGGAGCCTCCTAGCTGGGAGGAACAGCTCACGGAAAGTGGGATTCCTCAAGGAAGACCCTCAGAGCCTTGACTTCTACCTTTCCTTCCTCTGTCCGTGCCTGTCGGCCTTGGCCTCTTGGGAAGGTGCACCGTAGCAATTCCTGCTGTATGTACTTGACAGTTGAGAACAGAATCACCCTGGAGCAGCAGGAGCCGCTGGGCAGTGTGTTCCTCCTAGCTTCAGTCACTAACTTGGGGGTGTCCACTCATCACACCGTCCTCTGCTTCTTAACTGAGTCACAGACTGGCCTGCCTGCTCTGTGTCCCGAGCTCTCTCTACTCAGATTCTTTGCAGAAACTCACTGAGTTAAGAGGGCCCTGGGTGACGCAAGTGAGACCAAATATCATTTTGCCAATGAGTCTGAGGCTGTGGTCTCTGGATCCAGTCACGATGTTTTTATATGTTTAATTAAACTAGATGCTAATGGTGTTTAAACAATAATAATACAACAACTTGCTTCTTTTTGGGCCACCCCCAGGAAGGGCTGATTTAAAATCTGGGGGCAAACAACCTCAAGGAGCATAATTCCCCTGCCCGTCAGGAATGGCAGAGAAGAGGCCGCACCTCCCATTGGCAGAATGACAGTTGAGCCGAGCTGGGTTTGGGTTTTCTTCTGATTCTGCTGCTTGCTGTCATAGCCTTTGTGTATAGTGATGTGTCTGTCTTTAATGTAAATAGAGAGAGGATGAACAGAGTCTATTTTAGTGTTAGGAGGCCCTGGTGGGGAAGTCAGAGGAGCCCAGAGTGGGTGGGGAGCAGTTCTCTGGAGGGGGGCGACTGGATTTGAGCCCCACTTTTGTGCGCAGCACAACCCCCACCCCTCCCGACAGCCCCCAAAGACGTAGCAACTCTTTCTCTCACGGTGCTAAAGGACCCAGAAAGTGCAGCACGTCCAGTGGGTAGGTACTTGTTGCATGCAAAAAGCTATAGTGTCTCTGGTCCTTGCCCCCAGTCTTTGTGTGGGGTTTTTGCTTTGTGTGGTATTTTGTCCCTGTCCCTGCCTCTTGATGATGTGAGAAATGGCCTGGGTCAGAAGAGATGCCCCAGGTGAAATTGGGAAAGCATTAGGCAGAAATCGTGTGTGGCATCTCTGGCTCTTCCATGTGGGACCAGAGCTGCCCCCAGGAAGGAGGCGAGCAGGCAGGTAGCTATGAGTGGCTTGTACCTAATGCTCTTTCTCAAGGATTCACCCCCACCCCTACCTTGGAAACTAGTAGTAACACCTTATGATTTAGAATAAGTTAACTGTAACCATAGGTATTTATTGGTTGGAAAAAGGGAGGGTTTTATTTTCAGCTTTATTTATGTAACATTTACTGGCTTGTAAAAGGCAAGTATAAAATATTGCATCTTCATTCTCTATGGCTAACCCGTATAGCTGCCCTTGCCACAGTTGCTTGCAGTGTTCTTGCACAGACCGGAAGGAAAGATAGAAACACATTCAGCCAACCACTTAACACTAATTGAATGTATTAGAAGCTTACTGAAGGGGCTGTGGATGTTTTCCTCAGATGAGGTATGTGGAGGGAAGCCCCCAAAATGGTAGCATACACGAGCACCCTTCCTGAAAAACTTGGGAGCTTTGTCCAGGGTCCCTCCCCCCAATCTGTGTCCACAGGATAGCTAACCCAGTGGCAAGTTGCACTTTGGTGATCTTGGTCTGTACACCTCTTGTGGACAGTTGAGTTACACACCGTGTATACACACATGCACGTGTTACACTTACATACATACTGATGCTCTACCACACAGACCCTGTTTCCTGGCAACCCCTCTCCAGCCCTTACTTTGTGTACATAGCTGTAAACACGGATTTTTATGGGTTTTGGTTTGCCTTTTTATTTCCACACCCCCATCTTGTTTGGGCTTGTGAAGGATGTCTACAAAACTCCCCCTCCCCCCAGGAGTTTGCCTTGGGGCCCACTTGCTTGGTGGTAAAGGGAAGGGGTGAGGGGAACAGCCTTGATTTCCTCAGCTCTGTTGTTTTTTAGTTTTTGTTTCGTTTCTCTGCAAACACCTACAAGCGGGAAAGAACACAGAACAGAAAAGTGGTAGTGTAGCTGTAGAGTCCCCACCCCTTCCCAGGAGTACAGGCTCTTGCAAACACTAAACATTTCTGTAGCTGCTTCAGCCTGGTGACTTGCTGTCATTAGCAGGTTGTTTGGCTGGGTCCTAGCTCTTCAAAAGTTCTAGCTGGTTCCCATTTCTAGACTTGGGATTGGGTGGCAGTTGAGGATGGCATGTAAGATATTTCCTAAGAAGTACCTTGGCTATTTGGTTTGTGCATTGTGGGGAAAGAACAGTCCTCAGTGTTTGCCTTGGGTACTTCACAGACACAGGAGGTGGGTTTGTTGAGGTCGGGCAGGCTGCATTGGTGGGGCCCACCTGGATCACAACCCCAAAGGAGCAACACATGCAAACTTGGTCTGGGCTGAAACCCAGGTCATCACTTTGAAGCAGCCTGGTCTCCAGAAATGTCTGAGGTGTGTGGGCAGCACAGATTTGCACTGTACAACTTACTAGACCATCTGAGGCATCCCCAGCCTCCCGGTTCTTGCCTTCGAGTAGGTCACGTCCATCCTGCGTTTCCGTTTCTGCTGTAGGTAACTCTGCCGCTTGCGTTCTCTTGCTGTCCCGTGGCTGCTTTCACGTCTGCAGCAGTAGAGCTGCTCCCCATTGCCCACTCCACCACATTCCTGTTTCATTTCCCCCCTCACTGTAGCCCCTTTCACCCCACCACAAAAGTTACCACAGAAGGTTTCCTTTGTAAAAAATATTTATTTTGAAGCTCTATTTTAATAGTATTTATTTTAGAAAGTCTACTATTGTAAGAGTTCTTCTGTTTGTGAAGAAAAAACAAGTTACAAACTGAATGTACTGATCTAGAAGATATCTATAAATATATATTGTTAAATATACACGTGATGGCCATTCTCTTGTGTCGTCTTCCATTGCCTGACGTCCTCCCTCGGCAGAAGCTCCTACACGCCACCCGAACACGTGCACACAATGGGCTGGGTGTCTACACTGGGGCGACCCTCACCTACCTCCAAGGTCATCTAGAAGCCACCGAAGAATGCAGCACTGCTAGTGAAGCTGCCGGATGCCGCGTGCTGGAAAAATCTTTCCTGGGTCACCTGTTGTCAGGTTTGGGTTTTCTTCCTATATCTTGAGATAGTCAAGATAACCCATTAGCCCAGGTTAGCATTGAAAGTGTGTGATTAGGCCAGGTAGTGGAGGCAGAGGCAATCTGAGTTCCAGGACAGCCAGGGCTACACAGAAAAACCCTGCCTTATAATACCCCCCCCCCCCAAAAAAAAAGTCATCATGCCTGGCCGTTGTGTGTCAGTAATATAAACGGATAAGAAGTTTGAGAACTAGGAAAAGCTAGGGGTGTGGGGGGGACCAAATTTTGGTCCCAGTGCTGGACTGAGACCTCAAGGTCTTTTGACTTCTAAGGCCTCCTGTCCACAGAATGGCTTGTCTTTGTCCTTTGGTGCCTTGTCACACTTGGATCTGCCTGTCTCTGCCTCCTGAGTGCTGGGACCTAAGGCATGTCACCATTCCTGGCCTTGGTGTTTTTTCTTGGTCACAATGATGACATTTAGGATTCTTGGTAAAATCCAATCCTGTTCCTCATTGAGGCTTTGGAACGTATGTCAAGGATCCCCTAGTCATTGCCCAAAGAACACAAAAACACATTCTACAGTGTAACCCTATCTACAGTAGGACTTGAATAAAGATAATCTCAAATTCTGTTTCCTAACCATGTGACCTGTCTCACCTCTACAGAAGTAACCCTCTGGTTCCCAGTAGTGTCTCAAGTCTTGACTCCTCAGAGTCCCTCATAATTGGTTGGTTGGTTTTATGTTGGGTCGGGTTTTAGAAGTTAATAACAAAGACACCAATTGAAGTTACATTCTTAAAGGCCTACCCACCCAAATGGCCTTTGGGGAAAGGTGAAGCTGAGAGTCTCCAGAAGAGAATTCTACGACTGCTAGACTATCCTCCATCTGGCTTTGGCCCTCCTTAGTTCCCAGTTACAAATGGCTTTGGGGTGACCCCAGTGGTGATTCGCTGCATTACTTTTTGCCTGATACTATTGGCTTCGGGATGCAGAAATGGGTGTTAGGTGGAATTGCTACTCATACAGAAAGTAAAAATTAAATTGAAGCCTCTGCAGCTGTACTTGGGGAAGCACTGCATGGAGGAGCTGGAAAGTGTCCCAGTGACCAAATATAAAAGTTGAATCAACCCACTTCCCGTCTGTAACCACACAGTACTCTTCGAAGAAGGAATGGGCTGGGCCTTGGTGCTAGCATATTTGCCTGGCATGTGGAAGGTCCTGAGATCACTTTCCAGCACTGCCCCCTCCCAAAGGGCGTGGCTTGGTGAGGGCATCTCTGACCCATTAGAATATATCCCTGTACCCCTGCAGCCTGGTACCCTGGTCCAGAGCCCCCAGTATACAGAGCTCTTAAGCCGTCTACCTAGCCTAGGTAATTCACAGCTTGAAGTGAATTTAGCTTCCCAAAACATGAACCCCCAAGAAAGACCCAGGCAGCCTGCCCCACACTGGAGGTGCTGCCAGATAAAAGCCGGGAGGACATTTTTAAGAGACTTGAAGTTTTATTCATCGGAACTTTAATAAAACAATATGTCCAAGGCCCGAGGCAGGTATAATTTTCATAATTTATGGGTCTCTGAGACAGGAAGAGAGCTCAGGGTTTTATTGTGTTTCGCACGATAAATGGCATTCCAATTGTCTGCCCGGTGTTCTTTAAGGCCTCTTGTCTGGCGGCAGTGCAGCCTGCTGGAGCCCACCTGGGCCCGGAGGCCAGAGGCAAGGGCTAATTATGGATGCATCTGGATGCATTAAGCAGGAGATGACTGAAAAACTCCCTGGGCTCTACTTCCTGTGCCCACACGTGTGCTAACAGTAACTGCTACAAGCTTGGAGCCTCACTCCTCTCTCCTCCCGGCCTGCTCCTCCCCCCCCCCCCCCCCCCCCACCCCGCCCCTGCCCTGCCCCCCCCCCCCACATCCCCTCTGCTGGCTGGACCTGGAGATTCGCAGGAGGTGACTGAGGACTCTGTGCCAGCCACACAGCAAAGGGTGAGATCCCGATTGGAGCTGCTGTAGACTGGATGCTGCTAAGGAGCATCAGGTAAGGACAGGCCCCTGATGAAATAGTGCAGAGAGCATCACTGGGGAGCATAGATGGGACGTTGTTGTTTACAGTCTTGAAACAAAGTTATAATTGGCCTCACTTTTGACAGAAAATCAAGGTTCAGATGGGTAGATTTACCGATGCACCCTCAACCCACCACTGAGAAGTGGCAGACGGGACATTTTTAACCGAGAAGGTCTTCCAAAGTCAGTGCACTAGATGTTAAAGTCTTTTCAAAGTTTTAGACCCTGTCTAGAGAGCACTGCCTTTGGGGGTTCTTTCCTTTGTCCTCAGAGGCTCCTCGTCACCGGTCCTTCCATGACAATTTGTAGTGCGGGCTGTTCTAACCAGGATCACTGTCCACGAGACAGGATTTGAACCCAAGTCGCAACCACTGAGCCCAGCAGCCCCCATTAAAGCTGGAGCGCTGGCTCAGCAGAAGAGTGCTTGGTTTTGCAGAGGACCTGAGTTTGGTTCCCAGCCCCACATGGCTGCTCATAGCTTCCAGGAGAACCGACGCCCTCTGCTGGCACTAGGTATGAACCTAGATAGATGCACGCAGAACACACATACACAAAAAATTAGAAATAAACAACAC